GAAAATTACGAGTCCACCTCTTCTCTATTGGTTAATTAATAAGACTTGTACCACTAAACCATTATTTAAAAGAAAATTCTTACAAAAAATGTTTTCTGGTTTTAAATAACTTAGAGAGAGTTGATAAGTCGTAGAAAATGAATGAAGCAATCAGTCTTTGGAATGGAGATCACGAGATAGACGCTTGGAAAGAGAAACTTATTAAGATTATCTTAATCTGCTACAGGGCGACAAATGAGTCGCATGCAACGAGAAACAAACTCACTAGTCTACTCGTAATTTTGTTAACTTCCCGATTTTATTAGATGACGCGGTCTTGGGTCGAGACTTGTCACTGGATTCTGGATGAGAAAAAAAATAACATGTTAGATCAGAATTTCCAACCTGAGCGATATCACCCACCAGTGGGCGATTTGAACTGTTGGGCGGGCGATTTCAACTGGGTGATGAGCAACTGAAGCGAAAAGTTTGGGCTATTGAAAATTTGGGAAAGCGACATCGGATTTTGAGTATTTAAAAGGTATTTCAACATATGCTACCGGAAAAAAGTCAAAACAGATATGCAAAGAACCTGTATAAAAAGTCGGTGGTTAAATTGGGAATAACTTGATCACATTCTTAGGTAAGATATAAATATTTCTGCAAATAACGAATATTTTGATATTTTCTATAATTTTAAGTATTATAAACAAAAATCGTTTATTTTATTTTATTTTTTTTGACAGCACTTGCAAAGCTAACCCTAACGATAAACTAATCCTGACCATAAAACTAAATTATATATATGTATATGGTCTTCAATGGTCAAGTTGGCTTTCGTTACTTCTTTAATACAATAGTAGTAGTAGCAGCAGCAGCAACCGCATATGTCAGCGTGATTTGTTACCTCCCTTTGGTATTTTTTACTACATCATAAAGTCAGTTTATGAGCTAATAACAAACTTTTAGCAAACAATTTTCGTATGGTTTTGAATGTTTACTCGAGAACAGGGTTTCCCAACCTGAGCGATATCACTCACCGGTGGGTGATTTCAACTGTTAGTTGGGCAATGAGCAACTGAACAGAAAATGGTAGGAGATTGGAAATTTTGTTTGGTAATATAGGATTTTGGTATTGAAAAAGTTATTTCAACATATACTGCGCCCCAAAAAAATATTCAAAGGAAATATGCAAAATACCTGTATAAAAATTAGATGGTTAAATGGTAATAAGTGGGTTACATTACTAGATAAGATATAAATATTTCTGCAAACAACGAATATTTTGGTATTTTCTATAATTTTGGGAATCTTCATTAACATACAAATAGTTCTTCAGGAGAAATAATATTTTTCCGGATATAAATCAGAGAAGGGGAAACCAAGACTAACAAAAATATTCGCTGAATTTTTATTACTTGTCAATAGTGTATATTCTTTCTTATTCTATAATTATGAACAAAAATGGTTTAATTTTTTGTCAACACTTACAACTCTAATCCTAACAATAAAACCAATCCTGACCATAAAACTAAATGGTCTTCAATGGTCAAGTTGGCTTTCGTTTGTTCGTTAATACGGTAGTAGCAGCAGCAACCGCGTAAGTCGGCGTTATTTGTTACCTCCCTTTGGTATTTCTTACTACATCATAATGTCAGTTAATGAGCTAGAAACAATCTTTTAGAAAACAATTTTCGTATGGTCTTGAATATTTACTATACTGGTAGGCAGTGGAAAATATTCCGTGTGAAGTTGGACGATGACGAAAAAAAGGTCGGGAAACCCTGCGTTGGATGGACAAAGCTAATCTAATATTATACTATGTTATTTTAATTATGAAATAATCGAGGGTGTCATTATATAAAAAAAGCATGATTTTTATATTAAAAAAATTTAAATCATTTTAAGAATTTTATTTATACTACACGAAGATATAGGCCGACAAATAGCTGTCATTTTTTCCTTCTTTTATTTACATTTTACTATATTTTCTTTAGACCTTGATTAGAACGGCCATATATTAAAAACAATGATTGTGGGGATGTTACCACAGCAACTAATTTACTAGATACAATAGTCAAAAGATGCCGTTCAGGAACCCATTGATCAACATGACTGGTTAGATGAATTGACCGCTCATTTTGCTACAGTGATGCAAGAGAAGATACTACTCAGGAATCCATGCATAGAATTTTCGCGAATTATGAAAAGATTAATCTAAAAACTTATTCCCCTCGTGGAATCGACTGATTGGGAACGACGGTCTTCAAATGAAAATTCCTACTTGACATGAGATCTTTTGATATTTTGATCCTAATTTTCCGACCGGAGCACACAACTCCGGCATTGATCATAAGCACCATCTTCCTGTATCCCTTTGGCTCCAGACTCTGCGAGTCTATAGTTGGTTTACAGAGCTACTAGATGAACCATTGACGAAATTCCAAAACAATGTCTTCTTCGACCACGAAGGTCAACCATGGCTGGCATGGATACTTTCCAAATAGATATAAATTTAATCCTAGCAACTTTTTTTTCTGGTTGATTAAAACTACAGTAATTGTATTGTAACGTTATCGTTCTGAGGCCATACCAATGACAAAACTATTTTGTTTGCTGAGTTTATTAGATATTTTTGTCCTTTAAGTCGAGAGAAGTTGAAACGTTAAAATCTTTTAGATTATCCCACTTGTCTGCCAAGGAATTTTTAAAAGACAATAATTAATACTGGATATTTCTTCTAAAATCTGCAAACAATATGCATTTGGTTGGACTATAAGTTCGTAGCATTTTTCAATAGGTGGTTTAAATAAACATGATTTTATTTCACCCGTGGCTATATATATATATATATATATATATATATATATATATATATATATATATATATTTTGGTTGGATTGATGTGAGTTTGTAACCCTGGGTTTCACGCTTTTGCGATCGTCAGACAAACTGATTAATTTTTAAAACTCAAATCAATCCAAACAAATATGTTAGCTCTATCTCTGATATTGAGCGCTTTCTAATAAGTACTGTGCATATAATATATAAATAATTATATATATATATATATATATATATATATTTTATTTATTTATTTATATACACACTTTTCATATATATATATATATATATATATATATATATATATATATATATTATGAAATAGACAAAGTCTGATAATTTTTTAAGACATGTTTTATGTTTATACATTCTTTTATAGATACAAATATTATTTAAATAAATGTTCTGTTTATAATAAATAGTATTAAAACAGCATTTTCCTGCCTGAATGTCGGAGGACGAATATTTTTATGAAAAATTTCTCGAACATTCATTTATTATAAACAGAACATTTACTTAAATATTTATATCTATAAAAAGACTGTATAAACATAAAAATGTCTTAAAATATATATATATATATATACATATTTATTAATTATATATATATATATATATATATATAATTAATAAAAAATAAAATCCAAAATCACCTCATATGGGAAATAGCCTATTTCGGCTGACGGAGATATCGGTCGTCTATCTTATCAACACCGGAGTTCGTGTCAGAATAGAAATTTAATTGGGAAAGCTAAAAAAAATTATAAAACGACAGCATGAAAAAAGAACAGAGTAAAACTTATCTTAGCCGACGTGCTCCGTCCTCTGAGGTACTGTATCAAGGTAAATGCAAACATTCTTTTTTCTTTTTTGCAACAAGTATTTACATGCAAAAACAAAAATGTTATTGTTTTTTCAATTTTTTAAAATTCAAGAATGCTCATATATATTCATTATGTTTGCCGAAATGTCTAGGCAAGCTATGGAGGACGCCAAGTGACACAATTCAATGTCTAATAAGCGAAAGTATGTAAATGCAGTTCTTGAATTGTTTTCCGTAACATCTGTTATCCAAAACAATTTATCCAATCTAAACAGCATCAAAATAATTACAACCACATCCAAAACTATTATAGACATGATGAGAACCAAAAATATCCATAACAAGGATAATTCTGAAGTATATAAAAAATATTTGCTAGAACTGCTCCTCACAGTACACTGGGGAAACTTGCAGAAATTTAAAAATATATCTCTGAACAGAAAAGGGATCTTATACACAAGAATTTATCAAATGCATTAGTTATACATAGAAATAAATTCAACCACAACTTTGATCTAAAGAATGTTACATTTATTAAAAGATAAAGTAACGTATTTAGAGCGAAAATTCTTGAGAGTGCAGCTATCGAATCTTATTAAAATATAAATCGACGCACCTGATTTTTTGTAAATATCTTCATTCCTGAAAGAATTACTCCTTTCTCAACCGAATATACATGACTATAAAATGTTAAAAAATTAAAAGATTACGGTTAAATCCATTAAGAACACATGTCCATCAAACTACTTATAAGCTCTGGGTCTGCTTGGTGATGGCGAAATCTTACTAGTTTGGTCTTGGAGGTATTGAATGTTGCAAGCCAGTCATTGTCTCATTGCGCCACCAGGGCTAGGTAGGAGATGAGAAATTCTGCTAAGGTCCTAGTCATCCAGATATTTGTATGGCGTCTGTAAACGATTGTTTTGTCTGCATTCACTAAAGACCTGAGTATTTTTTTAGGAAAATCATTAATATCAAGCAGAAAGAAGAGAGGACCGAGAAAAGAAACTTGGGGATCGCCGGCATTTGTCTCATGGGATTCAGTTGATTGGCCGTTAAGACGATCTTCATGGACTTACCTATTAAGAAGGACTTGATAACGTAGAAAAGCCTTCCAGAAATTCCATAATTGTATGATTTGTGTAGCAACCCTCGATTTCACACCTTGTAAAATGAGGAATTTGTAGTCTAGTACCTCACTAATTCTGTGAGTAATGATAGAACATCAGCAGTGGACCCAGCAGAGCGAAATACATCCTAGTTGTCGGTCATGAGGCCGTTCCTTTTGGGCAGTTCAACAACCTTCTTGTTGATTATAGATTGCAGGAGTTTGCTGATGACACTGAGGAGGCTAATGGTTTCGCTATCTATCTATCTATCTATCTATCTATCTATCTATCTATCTATCTATCTATCTATCTATCATGGTAAACGATTCCAACAATACAAGATATCAAAAATTTCTCGAAGAAGTCATCAAATTAGTCTATTAATATCTAACTAAATTTGTTCATGTCTACCTAGCTAAGTACGTTTTCCAAACTATCTGTATATCTGTCGCAGTTTGTTCATATCTATCTCTCCATGGATCTCAACCTGTACATATCTATCTATCTATCTATCTATCTATCTATCTATCTATTTCAGTCTTTTCATCATCTATTTTTTTATTTCAGTCTTTTCATTATCTATCTATCTATCTATCTATCTATCTATCTATTTATCTATCTATCTATCTATCTATCTATTTCAGTCTTTTCATCATCTATCTTTTTATTTCAGTCTTCTCATTATCTATCTATCTATCTATCTATTTCAGTCTTTTCATTTTCTATCTATCTATCTATCTATCTATCTATCTATCTATTTCAGTCTTTTCATCATCTATCTATCTTTTTATTTCAGTCTTCTCATTATCTATCTATCTATCTATCTATTTCAGTCTTTTCATTTTCTATCTATCTATCTATCTATCTATCTATCTATCTATCTATCTATTTCAGTCTTTTCATCATCTATCTATCTTTTTATTTCAGTCTTCTCATTATCTATCTATCTATCTATCTATTTCAGTCTTTTCATTTTCTATCTATCTATCTATCTACCTATCTATCTATTTCAGTCTTTTCATCATCTATCTATCTTTTTATTTCAGTCTTCTCATTATCTATCTATCTATCTATCTATCTATCTATCTATCTATCTATCTATCTATCTATCTATCTATTTCAGTCTTTTCATTTTCTATCTATCTATCTATCTATCTATCTATCTATCTATTTCAGTCTTTTCATCATCTATCTATCTTTTTATTTCAGTCTTTTCATTATCTATCATCTCTATCTATCTATCTATCTATCTATCTATCTATCTATCTATTTCACTCTTTTCATTATCTATCTATCTATCTATCTATCTATCTATCTATCTATCTATCTCAGTCTATTCATATCTCTCTTTCTCACTCTATTTATTATGTGTCTATCTACACGTCTTGGCCAACGTCTCCAACAATTCAAAATACAAAAACGTTGATGAACTGATCAAATCAAAATGGTATTTTTTTTTCATATGAATGAATATACTTTTGTCTTCTTGAATCTTGTACTTTCTCCTCACTAAAGTCTTCTCATTCCCTTTTAATCTATATTGCGTCTTAGTGGCATTATCGCCTTGCATGTGGTGAAATAATTTAAAAAAAAGAAACTTCATAGAATACCAGCGAAAATACTTTGTTGAGTGAATAATAACCGAATAATAACATTTATGAATTTATATAAAGAAAATATTTTCCAGTAGCAACGGAAGTAGTATTTTTGTCTGTTTTTTTTTTTTTTCGGTGGGGGGGGGGATATTTGTTTGTTTATTATGCTCGGGGTATTGATCTGTAGAAAATGGTTAAAAGTAGAAGTTACAGTTCAAGTAATCAAAAAAAACATCGGTAGAAAATCGAAAATTCACGGACAAAACAAGAAGCGATGATAAATCTGACCACGTGATAAAATTAATGTCAAACCCGATTCGTAATATTTATGGATGTTTGCAATCTCGTAAAAACAAAAGGGCGAAATAATGGACGACATTGGAATGGAGGAAGAAAAAAATAACGAGGAATAGGAATAGGAAAAAAAAATAAGTTTAAGAAATAACGAAAGCGGCAAAAGGGAATACAAAAAAAGTAAAGAGGAAAATCAAATGTCAAGAGAAAGAAATAGAGAAAAAATCACGGCTTAATGATAGGAAGAGAGAAATGGAAGCAAAGAAGGGTAAAGAGAGAAAGAAATGAAAAAGATGAAGAAATGAAAGGTAAAGAAAACAACGAGAGAAATATGTGTTTTTCAAAAAGGAGAGTAGAAAAAGAAATAATTGAAAGAAGATCTGAGAGTTGAATGAAATAGAAAAAGAGTGTTAAAAATGAATGAACGAAAGAAAGAAAGAAAGAAAGAAAGAAAGAAAGAAAGAAAGAAAAAAGAGCAATCGAATGAAAGAGACGTTGAAATGGAGACGAATTATGAAAAATGGAAAGAAAAGCACTTGAAAGAAGAAAATGTCAAGAAATTGGGGAAAAGACCTCAAGGAAGATCTTAAGAAAGAAAGAAAGAAAGAAAGAAAGAAAGAAAGAAAGAAAGAAAGAAAAAAGTAATAGTTGTCGATAGCAGTTGTTCGTGTCCGGAAGCCATTTTTTCAGGCGATGTCAAGCGCGCTAGAAATGAGCAAAGGCAAGAAGGATTTCTGAATGGAAAATACTGTTTTACACGGAGATATCTTACTTGCTCCATTAAACTTTTCAAACCGGAGTGACCAACGGAGATTGCTTATGAATTTCCGGTCGTAGAAACCGCAGTGTATGCTGGTATATTCACCTTCTTTCTTTCTTTCTTTCTTTCTTTTTCTTTCTTTCTATCACAATTTCCTTCTGTCTTTCTTTCTCATTCTATCTATCTATCTATCTATCTATCTATCTATTTATGTTTTCTTTTTAACTGAATTCATCCCAAGCAAAGTAGTAAAGCCACTAAGACACTAGGGGCTACTGGGTGTGAAAGAATTAGAAAACAGAAAAAATTTAAAAGGAACGAGGACAACAGAAGAGTAATCAGGAAGACAGTAGATAACGATGGACATTACATTTAACTTTTCAAAGTTGTTCGGAAAGCATGGAGCCGGAAGAGAGTTACACAACGCAAGAAAAGATACTGTTAGCATAGAACTTACGGTTACATCTAGCCAACTCAACGACAAAAGATCAGAACTTTATGCCAGTCTAGTACCATGCTTAAATAGTACCATAATGAAGAGCTCATCTGAACTATTAGCATGAAAGTATTTATAGAAAAGGCAGGGGGGGGGGCAAACTCCTCTCTCACGTCTTTTACAAAACGCTCTACAACCTAGCAAACAACATTCCAAACATTGCAGGTATCTTCAGAAATATTAGGCATACGGAAATAAAATAAAAATTTCCCGGAAAAGGAAGTCCCACATCATCTTTCAGTTTTAATTTCTCGTCACGTTGAGAAAGGAGACAGGCGTGTCCGAAAATTCCGATTTTTCAAATATTTCTTATTATATATTCATTTGGTCAAAAGCTCTACTAAAATACAGAATGGTCCGAAAGTCTTGTCACCTCAACAAAATATAATTTTCTATTTCAGATGGCTGACACGAGCTCCTCCTACACTTTCGATGAGAGGTAGGGTGACAAGACTTTCAGACCACACTGTAAATATCTATCTATCTATCTATCTATCTATCTATATATATATATATATATATATATATATATATATATATATATATATACAGTAAAGAAGTATTGCCCACGCATGGTTCTTAAAATATGTAGATATAAGTTGGTGAAAGAATTTCACGAGATAAAAAACAACAAAAAAATAATATTGATAAGACTAATAATAGTTTTTGTACAGGGTGATCCGAAGTCTTGTCTATATATATATATATATATATATATATATATATATATATATATATTGTAATATATATATATATATATATATATATATTGCCATATATATATATATATATAGTTTTAAGGTGTGCTATATTTAGCGGATAAAATGCTCAATATCAGAGATAGAGCGTATGTAAATATAAAGGTTGACATCAAAGTCAACACTCAGAGGCGACACAGGCCATATGTGTTGGGCTTTTCTTCTCGACTATTTATATATACGGGTCAGTGGTGCATTGTGGGTAGTCCATTCTGACGGTTATTTTGGCGGGAGTGGTTTGTTCATTTATATATTTATTTGGGTTAATTTATTTTATTTTTATTTGATATATTCTTTTCGGTTTTCGATGTTTTAGTAACGTAGTAAAAAATTAAGATTAGTTTACATCGTTTATTTATTATTTTGTTTTGGTCAGGGAAGTTAAAGCTATTTTTCATCCAATTTTTTGAATTGATTGCTGCAGTCTATTCTAACTGTTATTTTGGCGGCGGGCAGTTTTTTAATTTTTTTATTATTTTGTTTATTTATTTGGATTGATTATTTTTACTTTTCTTTAGCTTATTTATTTATTTTTTTTATTTATTCTAACGGTTATTTTAGCGGGAGCGTTTTAATTAAATAAATAAGAAAAACAAGTAAAATAAATTAATACAAATAAATAAACAAATTAGCACACCGCTCCCGCTATAATAACCGTTAGAATGAATAAAAATAAAAATAAGCTAATTTGGTCGAAAAATAGTTTTAATTTAGTCTTGTAGCAGCGAACTTAATAGGGATTTATTATTCTGGATTGTTAATGGCCAAAGAAAAGAATTGTATTTTTCCCTTGTTTGCGGCTGCTGCAAGTTAATACGTAAAGAAAGCAAATTTCAAAGAGTTACTTCTGCCAATTTTATCCCCTTAAAATTCTTTCTACTCAAAACGTAAATTGTGGAAATGGAGAAAGGAACATCGCAGATTGCCTGATCTTTTAACTGACCTGTCCACTCTGGTTTAGATCGGTAGGCAAGATACGTGCAGGTCACACGAACGGGGTTTCTGCTTAATCGCAATGGCGTTAGCCAAATAATGTTACGTTTAAATTTGAAAGGCTGAAATGACTACGACTCGTCAGATTATGCATTTCACCACCCCCTCTCCCTTTCTACCTCTCTCTTTCTCTCTTTCTCAGTCGCTGCATTATGATGCTTAGTCTTTCTCTCCTGACCATCTCTATTCACTAGCTCGTACTCTCTCTATCCTTATATGTACTTTTTGTGCACCCCTCGTCTATGACTGTCTTACTTTCTCTCTCACTCACAATTTGCTTCTCTCACTCACACACACACACACACAGTCTCTCTCTCTTTCTCTCTCTCTCTTTCTCTCTCTCTCTTTCTCTCTCTCTCTCTCTCTCCCCATTTTATCTTTTCCTTCTTTTTGTCTTACTTTCAAGTCATATCTTTTTCTCTTTTCCTTCCCCTTTTCTTACTTTCCCCTCTGACCACCACTCATATCAAGACTTACACCACTTCTTGTTGCCGTTCCTACCTCCCCTTCCGTTCTATTCTTCATTTTCTTTTGTTATTTGGGTTTCTTTTTTCTTTCTTTCTTTACTTCTCCTTGTCTATTATTTTTTTTTATTTCAAAACTTTATCCTCCATTGACTGTTTGAAACATTCTATAAAATTCTTGCAATTTTACAAGGTGAAGATAATCATTTAAAGAATGGTATCTTAATTCGGAGGAAAACCTTTCTTAGTCGTTTCGCCCTTTGATGGACTTTAGCAAGGCAAATGTAAGGATTTTATTTTGCAACATGTATTTAAGCACAAATGTAAAATGTTCTTAGTTTTTCAGAATCTTTTAATTTAAGAGACGCGCATGAATATGCTTCAGGCTAACTGAGTGTCAAGGTAAATTATGGAGGGTTCTAAGTGATATAAAAAACAGAAGTGAGTAAATGATGTTATTGTTTTTTATAATGTAATTTTTTTCTTTTTAATCAGTATCACCTCATGCAAAGCAGTAAAGCTCCTAAAACACAACGGGTTACAAGGTGTGGAAGAATTAGGAAAACAAACATTAATAATGAGTGGAAAGCGAAAAGAGTAATCAGGAGGACATAGGATAGCGATTGACATTTCATTTAAATTTTTGCAGATTGAAGGTAGATGGAAAGCATGTAGCCGGAAGAGAGTTCCACAAGCGAGAAGTGTGAGAAAAGAAACTGATAGCATAGAACGGCTATATCTAGCCAACTCAACTGTAAATTGTTGAGATCTCGACGCTAGTCTAATACTGCGCTTAAATCCATGAAGTCTAGGTACCATAGCGAAAAGCTCATCCGAACAATTACCATGAAAGTATTTATAAAAAGACGCAGAGGCGCAACCTTACGGTGGTGGGTAAATGACTGGAGCCGAGCCGCCAGGTCATGACCAGTAATATTGCAGATTCTTCTTTGGATTTTATCAATGAGCTCCAGGTAAATAGCAGAGGCACCAGACCATATGTGACAGCAATATTCTAAGTATCAACGAATGGTAGACATATAGATATGTAAGATAGATTCTGGAGAGAAAAAT